CTTTCTTTGATTTTAAAATGGTCTGAATTGTAAGTGATAATTATCTTTCATGTTTATTTGTGTGAGTGATACGATAAGCAGAGTGATCATTCTTCTCAATGCCTGCTTTTGTAGGTAGGTTTAGCGAGCTGTGCTGTTTGACTAATACTGGCCACTTTTTTTTAAATCAATCTATTCTTGGGGTGATACATTGTAATGTTCTCTGAAAGATGAGTACCAAATAAATCATTTACCTGTGTACTTTTTAAATACTAAGGTAGCGGGATTATTATTTGCATACTTGTTTTCATCTTCTAATTGTGACTAAATGACTACAAATAGACCCGGGAAAGTATAAATTTTTAGAATCGCCAGACTTCAAGCTTTTCACAAGTGTATTTTGCATGCCCGTATCTGCATTCTACAACGCGTTACTCAATCAAAGGTGAAAAATTACTTTTTATGTAAATAAAATAATTACGTATTTATGCTGACGATAAGAAGTATTTTTTTCACTTTTCCTAGTTGTTCAATAGTCTGGTAAATTGAATGTGTCTGGTCAGTTTTATTTTAAAAAAATAGTGTGCTGAATTTCAATTACTGTTTTAGTCACATTGCCCCCAACTCAAACCACAATTCGTTGGTAATTAATCGATGAAATAGTTTGTCTAGACACATTCAAGTTCCTCTCATTGTCACCTTAAAGCTGTGAAAATTTGGTGTTAATCCAACGACAATAAGTATACGTTATTTTTTGTTAAAGACCTTGTATTTTGAAAAACATAAACTCCTAGAAAACGTCCATGAAGTAACAGCAAAGATTTTCAAGCTTGTTTATGGGCACAATCAATTTGTTTTCCCATCAAGGTCTGTTTTACCATGTGTAGGGGCATCCAAATGTGTAAGGCTATTAGAAACCAAAAAAATAAAGGAATGGGATAGCTATAATTGGATAAATTCGGCATATGAAAACACCAAAATCAATGATTTTTTTCAGTGGCTGTGTGACCTTGTGTCTGATACATTCATATGCAAATGACTAATCTGTGAAACAAACAGGGGCGGAGACAAACCACTCGAATGTTTGGAAACACTCAATAGTTGTGTTCACGTTACACGAAGTAAGGGCTAAGATTTAAGCTAATTTAGGCTTATCTAGCATATTTGCATTTCGGCTAGACCCAATTGCGTCCACGCACAGGGAGGGCCAGTCGTTAGCACGGGCTAAGGGGTGCCATTAGTCGGTGACATTTGGTAAGCCGCTATTTACGAACGAAAAATGGATGACACACGCGAGGTTCTATTTCTGCTGCTGGCATGTTTCGTTCTAATTTTGAAGCGACGTGCACAGGAACGCGAGAGAAGACGGACCACTTATTTGGATGCACATAAACAGTATACAACAGGC